ATCACGTGGAGCATGAGTCATAGAGGGTTGTGTATGTGGCATGGGAGCCTGACTCAGCTTAGGTTGGTTGAAAGGGGCCTAACAGAAGTGGCAGCAGTTTTGAAGAAAGAATAGAAATGTCTTTGGAAAAGCAATACAAGGAAGGATATTCAGAGGAGAGAAAAGCACAAATGCAGTCGCATTAACTTAAGATTCAAAAGAAAGAGCAGATGAAATTCAAATGAATTACATGTGCATTACAAAAGGAAAAAGTCACTGTAAATGACAATGGAATATCTAGTAGCACTTGAGAAACTGTCAAGAATCTAATCCTGGCTGAAAAGCTGCTGAAAATGGGGGTCTGAGCCAAGAAAAAAAAATCTCCTATGTACTTCCATCGTTCACATATAGGGAAAGTCAATTTTCATGAATGCTTAAAAAAACAGATAAGAATCAAGAGCTGCTTTTTAAAGAAGAAAGGAAATCACAAAAGGGAATCATGCAACCTAGGAAATCATAGGAGGGGAAGCCCCTTGGCCAATTGTAAGGGAAGTTTTATGAGCTGCTACAGAAGTGAAAACGCCCACCCTCCTTTTTCTTAGCATCCTCTTCTCTGCTTCACATGGCTGCTTCTCTGAGCCTCCAGCCCCATCCCAGCCTCATCCTCCCTGAGTCTTCCCCAGGTCAGTTAATGGCACCACCATCCTCTAACTGCCCAGGTCAAAAACCCTGAAGTCTTATCTTCCCCTCGCATCAGCAAGTGGGCTGCAGTAGCAATTTTTGAACACAACCCTCTTCTATTTTTGCCCCACTGGGATCACATAGTATCCAAACAGATGTCATTTAAACATAAAAATAATTCATGTTATTCCCTTCACTTCATTCAGTGGTACTCCTCTGCAATCCAGAAACTCCTAATCATGGCCTTCAAGACCCTCCATAACCAGCCCCTGCCTGCCTCTCTGTTATCATTCCCTTGAATGAATCTCCTACCACCTGAAATGTGGGTCCTCAGATCTTCAAAGAACCCTTTCTGAACTTTTCAATAAAAATTAGCTCCTCTACTTCTTAAGTTATTCTCTGTCAACTGCCTCATTTTATTTTCTCATTGCACCTACTACTTGAAATTATCCTGTATGTATGCTTATTTACCCATTTATTGACTATATGTTACTAAAATGTAAGCTTCTTCTGAACAGAAACTATGTCTACCTGATAGTTTACGTTCACTTGCAAAATGCCTGGAAGACAGTAAGCACTCCATCAATATTTTCTGAATGAATGAATAACAGAATAGTGGCACTTACCCCACCCCAAAGATGAGATGAATATCCCAGTCCACAAAACCCAAGGATCTCAGTCAGCAGAATTATTTTCAGGTGTAGCTGCCCCATCCAGAGAGTAGTTTAAAACCATGATTATGTTGAGAGACAATTTCTAACATAGCATCCTTACTCTACTGCCATAACCATATTCTGAATGGAAAGAAGTAGATATTTGTGACAGAATGGATGTTTCCTACCAAGAGACAGGCAGCAGATGTCTGGATGATAAAAAGAGGTATGAAGGAAGCAACTTCCTCAGGAAGCCGTGGGGAAGTTCTGAGGCCTCCAGGCAGAACACCAGCTATCAAAGACATTGACAGACTGATACCACCAGACTGGCAGTGCAGAGAAGTTGGCTACACTCTTTGGCCCTAGGAATTGCAAGGGACCTTAGAGAAAACTAATCGCCAACCCTAAATGCTTAGGGCTTCCTTAAATTTCATTTTGCTCTTCGAAGGCTCTGAAGAAGGCTTTGGCCTTTGACATTGGCAAGAAAAAGAGCTGGCAATGACCATACAACCATGACCATTCTCTTCTGTTTGGCGATGAGACCTGGAGACGTTAAGGGTAGTGCACCAATGAAAGATAACCAGGTCCTATTACAGACATCTTTGCATAGAGGATTGCAAGAACTAGAATGCAGATTTGAAAAGTAAAGAAGATACAAAATTCATTGTAGGCAACTCTCAAGAATGTAAACTTAAATCATGCAATTATGTAGATCCTACTGGAGTAAAACAAAGGTTTGACGTCACAGTGTTATATTAAAATGTGAGTTCTGCTATTGTTCACCACAAGGGAACAATGGCACCCTGGGAGAAGAAATTAGAAAGCACAGATCACGCTTATAAAAAAAAAAAGTATCACAATCCTCCTTTCATTGATTTCTTCTCATTTGAGCTTTGGTTAAGCCGGTATTTAATGAGACCCGCTGCTGCGTAAGGCACAAAAGAAAATAAATCCCTCAGAGAATTTACAGTCTAGCAGGGTAGAAAAGGCAGGCTGAAAATAAGGCAATATCAAGCAACCTTTGGGTAAAGATCCAAGACTGTTTTCTGAAGAAGGTAATGCAGTGACCTTGAAGGATGGCAGAGACACCAGCCCCGGTAAAGGTAGAAGAGGTGTGCTCACGGAACAACAGCTCTGAAAGTGGGGACTCAAGAGTCTGGTGTGTGAGGGCCAAGAATTAAAACTACTTCTTCAATCAATGCAACTCAGGGACCCCACTTTCATCCTCTATTCCCCATACTGTCTAAGTTCAACTTCTTTGCACATGGTAGGCTCAAAAGCTACCTATTAAGTAAACAAGAAGATGAATCCAAGATTGAGAAATTAAATCTATTCAATTCACTGATTTTGCTGCTGTCCTGGTGTTCTTAAATTTCCTGGTGATTTGGGTTCCAGAAAAACTCTGCCCATCCTTCTGGGTAGGTACTTTTGTTACCTCCCTAACAACCATGGAGCACTTAAAGAGATTTCACATGACCCAGAGCTGGGAGAGTGACATGTGTGTATGTGTACCCCTCCAGATTTGGGAAGTCTGAGGAGAGTTGTTGGGTCTAATACTTTGTGGATATGAAGAGGAAGAGGAGGACAGCAACAATGATTCATCTGTAAATCAACTCTACTGGCACTGTATCCCAAAAGAAAGAGCTAGTATTCTCATTTCAAATGTTCAAGAAGATAACAGCACCTATAAATAAAGTTGTTTTATAGTTTTATTTCTAGAATATAATGAGGGAATATATTCACTGTCCACTAACTTTCTATACAACTACACACACGAAGCTCAGCCTTCCTGAGCCTCCCAACAGGGATGAGGATAAAGAGAAACTGACGACGGGAGGCAAGCCAGATCTGTTCAGGGAGCCATGCCACTGATCTGCTCAGATGCTCTTCTGTCACATGTCCATCTTCTCAAAGCCTCACTCTGCACTCACATCTGGTGCCCCAGGATGCTGCTGAAATGTGAATCCTCTCCCCAACTTTTCCATTCTTTGGTATAGTGATATCTAAGGTACCTGTAGGTTCTATAATGTCCTGGGGTTCTATTTTATGTCCTCCACGTTAGGTTTAAGGACAAAGTCTTGAGAGAAGCATCTAGCACCAGGCAGATTCTAAAGGCCATTTAAAAACATTAGTCACTAACATAATTAGCCAGCAGTTAAACTTTAGAATATAGAAATCAAATATGTAAAGAACCAAGTCATAAAATGTGTGTATATACATATAAATAATTAGTCATCATACATTCACTTATAAATCCTATGTAAAAACACTCATATATATGCTTCTACTAACACACACACACACACACACACACACACACACACACTCCAGTGACTATTATGAGGACAAAAGAGCAGTAATTATGAGCCTTACTCAATGATCTAAACTTCACTACTTTAAATGCAGTAGCACCTACAGCTACATCCTTCATATTCACAAGTTTGTGTGAATTTCACCCCTGCATTTTTATCATGGATACATGTCTAGTGTTCTATATATAAAGTTTTTTAAAGGTTAAAACAAGGTGATTCTTCACAGAATTCGAATGTTCTTCTATGATGTAGGTACCTGGTTGAGCTATTGTATTTTTACAATTCTACATTATTTTTAACTGTATACTCATGAAAATTCATATATCCAGGCTAATAAAACATACCCCCTCTAAATAAATATCCAAAAATACCTTTACATACTACGGGTAGGAGAATAGGAGAGGTAGATCACTTATAAACAATTATGTTTTGAAATCAGTGAGGACACTCAAGTCTAACCACACTGGCAAAAATCTAACCATCGACAAACACTGGTGTTGGTTTATTGCATGTTTATGACATTTTCCCTCTATTCCCTCCTACCTCCAGTAATGATAGCAATTAGATGACATACAATATTCCTTTTAGCTCTTGATACTTTTGATCTGCAAATTAAAGATCTATGATAATTAACACACTCTGTTGTCACCACGACCTAAAAACAATCAAACTAGTCCTAAAATAAGATCTATTCTTGCACAAGTGGGCAGAAAAAAAAGAGAATCAAGGCTCTTAATGCACCAAATGTGAATGGTTAGCCTGCAATGTAATACTGATGTTAATTTTTAAGAAGAAATGTAAAGTAAGCATCTTACTAGAATATATAAAATGAAATGTCGCTTGGGGAACCTGAACTAAATGTGAATCAGAAGTGAATTCTGTCTGCCCGAGAGCCACTCATTGACCCTATCTTATAACTACTAATCAAGGCTTCCTGTTAGCCCTGGGCAATCCTCAAGCAAGCTTAATGAAATAGTTATACATGTAAGAAATTTAAGCCCAAATCTGAGTCAGCAACACTAATCTTCTAATAGTGAGGGTGTGATGCTATCCCCTGCACCACCTGGATACAATATAGACACTTACGACAAACATTCTCCCAAAAAGCACAGTTATTACCATTCCACCAGTGTGCAGACTGATGTCGCCGCAAAGTACAGCATGCGTAGACACGTCCCCCAAAATTTTATTCCGAAGTTACTGAATATTGGAATTTTTTAATAAAAAAAGAAATCAGTATCTTCAGGTCTCTCAATTCTTTCGTAACAAGCCGTTTTGCAGCTCCAGAACTTTTGAAGTGAACACATCTCATCTGGTAAGCCCCTCACCCCCAGCCTGCCAGAGTCTGCAAGTGAAACCTAGGAGTCTGTCTTACCTGTAATCTGACTCTGTCCTTGTGGATTAAAAGGACTTGGTGCAGAGTTCAGGGAGGGCCGTGGGTTCTGAGGCGGGACACCTACTCTCATACTGGGATGAGGAATGCGCCCTAAATCACTGAGGCGGTCAGAGAACAAACTAGGTTTAGAGTCATCAAGCTTCTGTCTGTGCCCTGGAAATAGCAAATCATAAAATAAAAGCATATTAATGAGCTGAACAATTGACCATGCTAAATAGATATGTGAACATACATACTGGGTGGTTTCAGCCAAGGAATTATCAATACTGATATTCATAATAAGGTACCTATGCAATGCCCTCTTTTCCAAGTTGCTTTATAAGCGTTATCTGGTGGAAGCTTTGCTAGTTCTGTTCTATACATGGACAGCTGAGGGTCCCAGAGGGTGACTTGGAGTCAAAAGCTCAAGAGGAGCTCTGGGTGCCTCCTCTGAGCCCTCTCAGGGAAAGGAGGAAAAAAGGAGTGTGCACTGGGACATGTTTTTTTGTTTGTTTGCTTCATGGTGGAGGAAGCTTCTTCTAAATGCTCAGAGAATCCAGATATGTTGGACACACTGTCACAAAATGGGGGCAGAAACAGAGGCAAACACACTCCTCAAAGAGACATTTCCCTAAGGACCACAGTGACTTTTTCATTTTTATGGTACAACTACCCCTTGCCAAGACGCTCTTCTGAAAAATTAAAACTCAAGCTTAGAATCTTAAGAGAAAAAAAAATCAGAAATGTAAGTAAGGAAACTCAAATTCTCAAGAGGAATCTGGATATTTTGTGATTTGCCAAATCCCAAAAGCATATAATAAACTCTGTTAAATCACAAAGAATACTTTTTAAAATTTCAAATCCACTACTGTGGTTTTATACCAGAAACTAAAAAATACTCTGGGTAAACATTAGCTAATGTTAAAGGTAACAATTCATTTATTTAAAACATCTTTCTTCTAGCAAGTTTAAAATCCAAGAATATTCTGGATATTGTAGAAATATGCAAGTTAAAATATACTCAATGTTCTAAGACTTCTTAAAAAATCAAAGAATCATTCTTAACAAAGGAATATAGAAGTGTCTTGGTGTGGTCACAGAACAACATGAGAGTCTGGGTGGTCATTGGAGGGCAGAGCTGGGGTGAGCAAGGACCATGCCTAACACAAACAGAAAGATACTGTGGGGTCCCTCCTCCACATTCTGTACCAGTAAGGTCCTGGGATGATTCTTCAACATTTCAGTAAAAATGTTTAACTGACTGGAGCAGATTCAAGGAAGAGCTACTGAGAGACAAGTAGATTAAGAATTTGCACTCTGAAAAAAAGAAAAAACTAAGGAAACTGGGATCATTATTCATAAAAGACAAAAATCTTGAGTGAAGATTATTACAAAACCTTGGAGAATGGAATTCTTCACTACTCTACAGTGGTGCGAATATTTCGCTTACACTTCATACAGGACAAGAAGAATGCATCAGGATAGGGTTAAGTTGAACATGAAAATTTCCCAACTATAAGCTGTCTTCATAAGACAAATTCCTTATTTTATTTGCCCCAAAATGTATTTTCCTGTCTCCTTTTTCATTGCCTACCCAGCCCAAAGAAAACAGACAGGAAGCCAAGGCTTGGTAACATGAGTGTAGCTGTCTCTGTAGCCAAACATGTTCCAACTAGGCCCATTAACTGAAATGCACCCACCACCCTATTTCCTGCCAGTGCAAGTTTTGGGCATCTGCTTTATAGCAGAGGGACTAGACCCAGTAGAAAAAAGGAAAAACTACGGAAATTTTATTGTTTGTTAACAGTGTTTTCCCCATCATTTATCATTTTTTTCATTCAGATTGCCAATAGAGTTTAGAACCCTAAAGGATGTTTAGAGGTGACTCAAAACAGCTCCTAGATTCCAGCTAGCGAGATGGTCACAAGTTAACTGAGTAAGACCTGCAGAGGTAGGACAACTAGCCTGCAATCCTCAGCTATTGACTAGCTTGGCGAGGACTAGGATATAGTCCTAGTCTGTGTTGATTAAGCTTTCCATTCATCACAGGCGCCATCAATGTTGGCATTCCACCTTCCTCTCTGACCTGCTACGGATGACTAAAAAACATCCAGATCACACGGTGAGACAACCAAGAGCTAAGCCCAGTGAGGTGTCAAGGCTAGTTTTCAACGTAATCAGAAATAGTAGCAAGGATTCAATTACAAAAATAATCACTCACCCATTACCATAAATAAACAGCTATAACCTAACTCGCCAAAGTTCTATCAATACATCTTGCCAGGTCTAGCAAGTTTCAGAATTAGGGAATTATACAGTATCTGTCACAGTTAGACCAATGGAATCTGCACACACACACACACACACACACACACACACACAGTACTGGTATGATGTTGATACAGCTGTAAACATTAACCAGAAATCATATGGAATTGTCCCGGGAAGTTATTTTTTTAATAGGCCATATTTTTGGAATGGCAGAATCCCTAAAGGCTAAGGGGAGGATTATATGTTCTTGCATGGTTCTTTTGTACATTGGGACTTTTTGTGGGGCATGGGTCATAAGAAAATTTAATAAGCTTTGCCTCTGCTTTCCACTAAGGAAACCTTTTCATTAGGTTTTCATGGAGACTGTAAGAGATGTGAGCTCAGGGTAGGGATGTCTGAGTACATTTTTATTTATTCTTAGCTTTAGGGAGTAATAGGAGTCACAGGCAAGAATAAAGGACTTGGAACAGCACTGGTAAGTGAAAAATTTAAGAGCAGGTGAAATCTTAAAAGACTCAATGGCCTTTTGGAAATTATCATCAAAGAAAGCTACCAAGTATCTACAGATAGCTTACAAAAGTTCAGGGAATGTCTGTCTGGGGATGCCATATACAAAAACATACAAATTGTTCCTGTAGATATCTACCCCTTCATAGCAACCACCACAACCACAACAAAATTCTTACAGTACAATGCAAAGCAAAAGCCAAACAGGTTCTTCATCTTTCAACCATGACAAATACCAGCTACCACTAAACCACATCAGGGCGTACTCAAATGATAGGTTGAAAGAAGATGTACTAAAATCCTCAGTACCCAAGCAATCCCTTCAGAAATTGAGAACATGGGAGACCAAGGAAACACTAATTTTAACCAAGAACAGAGTAGGGTATCATGTTTTAGGGGGAACTAAATCTTATCCACAAGGCCAAAGAGTTATAAAGAATGGAAAACTTTTGTATTACTTGAAACCCTATGTAAAAGTTAAGTCCTGGATCCTCTAGCTGTGCTTTCTTCCTAGAGCAGTAGTCCTTCCAGACTACCTGGATACGAACATCCTACTAGAGACCTTTGAAAATTATGGGTGCCCAAGCTCTAAACTGGATCTATTAAATTAGAACTTCTGGTGGTAGATCCTAGGGGAATGTTATTTAAAAAAAAAAAAAAAACTCAACATGCAACCAATGTGCAGCCAGTGTTGAGAACTACTGCCCAGGATGGTTTCAGTCCCATCATAAATGCCACCTATTCACACCCATGACTCCCCCATTTCTGGGTAAAAGCCCTCACATCTGTCCTGAATTCCAGATTCCAACTGCATACTTGACAGCTCCCCTGGAATGTCTCAAAGGTATACAGTATATTCAAAACAGAATTCATTCTCTTCTCTCAAACATCCTATTTCTTCCAAACAGTCCCCCAACTGGTAAATGGCACAAGCCATTCAGTTTCTTGAAGAAACTGGATTTCTCATTATTCCTCACTCTTCATTATTCAATTCATTGCCAAGTCTTGTCATTTCTATCTCAACACTGTATCTCAAATCTATTCAGTTCTCTCCATTTCAACTGGTACCACCCTAGTCCAAAAGCCTACCCATCTCTCTCTGAGTATCTGATATTGCCTCCTTTGTAGTTTCCCATCCAAGGATCTTTCCATATTCCTGAAATGCTCCCCCCTTGATTCTTCATATGGCCCCCTCCTTCCTAGCCCTCAGAAGTAGGGTGAACACCTCCTTTGAGAGGCTGGCCTCCCTCCCATAACTAAAGAAGATTCCTACCCTCTTGAGCAAAGCCTCTCTTTATTTCCTTAGTGGCAGTTGCCATAATCTGTAATTATCTTGTGTATTTATTTGTCTCTCCTGAAAGGCTGTACGTCCCATGAGAATGAATGCTCTCTTGTATACAGCTATGTTCTCACAATCTAGTTCAATGCCTGCCATACAGTAGGTACTAAACAAATATTTACACGGTGAACAAATCAATTGTTCTCTTTTATATAAATACTTTTTTTGAAAGAAAAAATTTTGGTCTAGGATATCATTATCACTATTCCTCCCAAATACT